GAGGGAATTCACACCAGATTTAAAACATTGATGCAAATCTATCTAGAGGTTTAAGTTGAGACCTGAGTCATCTTCAGCTGTACTGAGATTGCCACCAGAAAGGCAAGCATTTTTTTTCCTGGTGGTATTAGAGTTGAAGTGTTGGGATAGCCCTCTCCACTCTAAGCTGGCCAATCCTTTCTCCTGGATTCTTCTCACCACAAACTACAACAGGTCAGAGAAAATTCAGCATGATCCATGGTGAGAAGCTTCTGGAGACACCACAAGAAACCCACAGAGAAGATCCAAGGGAATGGGAATGTTCATCTCCAGGAAGCAAAGACCTGCATGGACCACCTTGATTTCTGTCTCCACGACACAAACAGGCTTCTGTACATATTGGATATTTGTGATATTTGTGGCCCTCAAGAACCCAAGAGCAAAAACAAAACAAAAAAAGTGCAATATTTCATTTCTGCCTTGAAGGACGTTGTATTGATCACAGCTATTCCCAGATAGAGTGGGCAATCATGAGAGGTAAGGCACATTCTTTGTTGAGGGACACCTAGTTCAATATAATAAAAGGACTGGAGTAAAGAACCTAATGGACATCTATTATCTCTTTCTTATCACAAGGATGCCCCAACCAAGTTGCCTTGGCCCTGGTATTTTATCACAGCTCCTGGGGATCTACCCTCACCCATCTTCAGCCCTGTGCATCAGCAGAGTTGGCACCTCTTACTCCAGAAGTGGGCATCTTTCCTACACTTAATCAGATGTAGTGTCAAGGGAGATCACATGTCTGTGCTGGACCAATCAGTGCTTAGCAGATCTAATGGTAGATTAAAAACAGATAAGATTCAAGCCTGGGGTTCCTGGGAGCCACCTGGTCATGAAAGTGGGACAAACTAAGAAAAGGCTCCTCATCAAAACTTTCCCCTGAAAACTGAGAGACAGACACCAGAGCCACACAGCAAATAGAGACTATTTTCTGAAATGATTTTTGTCTCTCTAGAATCACCCCCATGCCAAGGTCATCTTTAAAAAGCTGGAAAGCCTTCCCCCCCTTCAATCAGGTTAAAATATTTCTGTTGCAACCAGGAGCAGGTCCTGGCCATTCCAGATTGCCTCTAAAGTCTCTAAAGTCTCATTCAGTCCCACTTTGCTCTGTCTGAACTAGACAGAGCACTTCCACCAACTTCCAGAAAGCCTTTCCCTAGTGCTGGGGACTGAATGCTGGGCTAGTCATACATACTAGTCAAGTATTCAGTCTCTGATCTACATCCCAAGCCTTCTGTTATCAAACTTGGAGCAGGAGTATGGCAATCTGTGCCCAGCAACCTGTCCTCAATAACCCAATTGGAAAGCTTAAAACAAAACAAAACAAAGTGGGGGAGATTTATTCAATACCACATTGAGAAGAGGAACAAAGAGTTACAGAAAACTCCATCCTTGGGGTCCTAAAGTGAGATGGAAATTTAAATAGAGGGCCAAGGATGTACACATGTAACATGTCCCAGTCAAAGTGTGATCCCACCCACTGACTCATCTTTGTCTGGAATTCAGTCTCATTCTGAATGGTATTCTAACAAGTTGTTGTAACTGTGAAGTATCTTACAGGGAGACAAGTACACACACACACACACACACACACACACACACACACACAGCCATGCATGCACCCATACACATACTCACCAACATGTAATCATGTATTTGTGCATGCACACGCACACACACACACACTCACACACACACACCTTTTCCTTCTGTTAGCATGGAATTCTTGGGGAAATCCCTATTTCTTGGGGAAATCCCTGTTTCAATGACCTGATAGACTGGAAGATGCAAGTGTCTTTTTGGAACACCTTCATTTCTGACAGGCCAGTTACACTCCTATGTGGTTTTGAGACAGGGTCTCATTAAGTTGACCAGGTTAGTCTTTAATTTACTCTGTGGCCTGAGCTGGCCTTAAATTTATGATGAACTCGTGATTACTCAGTCACCTGAGCAGCTGGATCACAGATCTGCATCTCTAAGTGACAGAAGTTTCTGGAGTTTGTAATGCTGCTACTTCTCCTTAGAACAGCATCCCCCTGGGGTAGGGAGTGGCCCAGTAATTAAGAGCACATTCTGCTCTTGCAGAGGAGCCAGGTTCAGTTCCCAGCACCCACATTATTGCTAACAACAGTTTGTAACTCCCACTCCAGAGGATCCAGTGCCCTCTCTGTCCTCCATAGGCACTGCATACACATGGTACACTTACCACACAGGTAGACTACACTTATGCACATAAAAAAAAAAGTTCTAAAAATAAACAAACAAATAAAAGTCAGACTCTGTGAAAGGGAGAGTAGAGACTGTGAAAGCATGAGAATCAAGTGAGGTAGGATAATGGTCTGTGAGAAGATGGCAGGCAGGCAGGGCAACTATTTTAGACCCACAGAAAGCATTTCTGGCCTCCTGAAGCTCAACGATCAGAGCAAGGTTGGGTGGGTGGTGAGGAAAGACCCCCACCAAGCACTAGCACCACACCCTGGCCATGCACTTCCATGTGAGGGACCACTAATGAGCTTCCATTTCTTGAGTACATTCTGAGTGCCACGCCCCTGCTGGCACTTGACCTGCCTCTGCTATTGCAAGTGGTCCCCAGGGTAGGCATTATACCAGACCCAGATTGGCCAGGGAAGCCAGTGAGGCAGTACACAGACAAACTCTAAAAGCCCTGCCTCACTGACAGTAAGGGCCTAAAGCCACATTGAGGCTCTCCTTGAAGCTGCCCAAGGCTTTCTCCCATCTCTATAAAATGGGGTATGCACCCCCATCCCCCAAGGACTTAGTCCTGAAGTGGTTGAGACAGATATAAGAATTCTCCCTATATAAAGAGCTCGGGGCTTAGCTCCGAGTTATATATAATGTGGGCAAAACAAAAGGGCCTCACTGGGCTAAATCAGCCAGGCTCACATATTCCCAACACTCTCCCAGCCCACAGGGGCCAGGTCAGTTCCTTTGTTCTACAGGACAGGCCTGGTAACAAGGCAGCCAGGAGCTCAGCTGTGGACATTTTTCATTATTTTCCACCCTGTTAACCTCCATCACAAGTCAGGCTGCTGTCAGGCTAAATGAGAACTGCAAAGATTTATCTCACTTGTCCCAGGGCTCAGCTCAGGAAAAAGCAGCCTTCGTTTCCTAAAGGCCTTGACGACCCTTTCTCTCTGAGTCATTCCCACCCAGGAAAAGGCTGTGACAGCAGCAGCAGGCAGGGGCCACACCAGGATCAGGACTCCAAAGCAGCAGACAGCTAAAGCCTGAAGCCTGGCCTCTGTGAAGCACTGTGGGACGATGATTTTTTTTTTTTTTTATGGGTACTATATTTACCTTTCTAATTATGTTTGCTTATGCAAATATTAAAGTCAGACCACATTTTGTAAACAGCATCAAGAAGAAACCAGAAGTGTATTATGTGGTGGGAGGACATGAGGCAGCAAGTACAGTTCTTCTGTAGAAGTCATCTCAAAACGGACAATGCAAGCGCAGACCTTAAGACAGAATGTGGTTTTAAGTCAGCAGCCTGCCCCCTTCCTTGTGTGTCTGGCAACCCTGGGTCATCAGATCACTAAAGAGGTATCTGGGAAGAAGAGCTGAGCTACACTGAGTAACAGTTGCTGCTGTCCTAGGGTCATAGCTTTCACAGAGAAAGGCCAGGGTAGCATGTGCTGCCAATGTCCCTCAGGGTGTTTCTACCCATTTCACAAGTGAGAAAACAGAGGCACAGGAAATTTAGGTCATCAGCCCAGAGATACATAGATCACAGGAGAATGACGTGTGCCGTCTAACAGCAGCTGGGATGGCTGTGAGTATTTCACAAGTGAGGAAACCAAGGCACAGGTTTAAGTCACAAACCTGAAGATATACAGGACACATGGGTTTTAAAGGGATAGCACCAGGGTTATTGTCTTTCTAAAATACTAAGGAATCTTATCTTGGGCTAAGGTCCTTCCCCACAGGACAACACGTCTGACCTTCACACGGGCCCTGAAAGCAGCAGATTTCAGCCTCACTCAACAGACTAAGAGAAGGCTAAATGACACACACATTTAAAGAAAATTTAATTCTTCACACATTCACATAGAGCCTCCATTGTGACAGGCATTGTTTAAGAAGCTTGGGACAAAGGCTTCCGGGGAAATAAAAACTGATGGCTCTCTTCACCCTTGGCTACTGGATATTTCTCTTAGTAAAACCTTTCTTTCAGCAATGGAGTATTCTACCAATGCCTTGAAAGTAAGCCAACTTTTGAGCCTAGGGTCCCCATTGTGAAAACTAATCCTAAGTAACAACCAATGTGGGGGAAAGTACACAGTGGGGCTTTTTGTAACAGTAAAATCATGGCATTTACCAAAGTATTCAACAGAAAGAGACCAGGTACGTAGGGCAGGGTAAGTCAATATAACAAAATGCTATGCAGGCATTCAAAACAGAAGTAAATTTTCAATGTGGGAAATTTATGACAGAGAGCATTACCTAAGTTTGGCAGATCACATACATAGGCAATAATATCAACCATAGAGTATGGTCTTATACAGGGGGAAATATGTATGCATTCTAGAAAGTATACAAATTATAGGCATTCACAGGAAATATTTTATACAGGTATACATAAAAGAAATTCTTAGAATTTCCAAGTGATTGACTGGTAAAGTTCTGTTGATTTAAAGTTTTGGGTCCATGTCCACCTTCATTTTTCCAGATTGCCTATGACACATGTATGCTACACACCTAGCCATATAAAGGTTTTTACTCTCGTGTTCACAGGTGCTAAAGTGGCTGAGTACACACAGTCTTTCAAAGGTACATACAGCAGTCAAATTTGGGCTAGAAAGTATAGTGAGGCCCTCAGTCCCATGAATCATTCAACACCTGCCTTTCTGGTCCTTTGTCCCCAAAATAAACTCACCACATTGGGAGAATATTGTCATGGCCAGTCTAGGGCAGAGACCTGGGGCAGATAGGGCGCTCACCTTTTTGAAGAGTCTGATGACATCCTCACTGATCTGGGAAAGGCGGACGATGACATTGTTCATGAAGATGTCATTGAGGGTGGCATGGTCTCGGCTCTCCCGCCGGGTCTGATGCAGTACCAGATACCAGCAGTTCACGGGCGAGAGGAGATATTGATCCTTCCTGTGGGGACCAAAATGGCTCAGGTGGGCTTCATGACAGTTCACATGGTCACCCATATTTGACCCTCATAGCCACCTTCAAAGCCAATCATATTACACTTTTTACTACTACAGGCCAGAGAACTAAAGTGATATTTCCATGGTTACAGAGTACTTCTAGAGCTAGACCTTGGGTCGCTGACTCTGTCTTTGTCCTGGGCCATCTATGTTCTCCTAGACTGCAGCACTTGTCATGTTCGCTTCCCTCTTCTAGGAAAATCTATCTTAATGGGGTTGAGAAATACTAAATAGATTGCTCTGAAATATGCCATGGATTCTAGGTCTATGCAGTAGGGAAAAAAAAAAAAAGGTACTTCCTTTCCACTAACCTGTCTCCACTAACCCACAGAGCCCTCTGGGCTCTTGACACCTTTGTCCTTCCCTAAGGAGCTCCTGACCTCCTAGAAACTAGTACGACAATGATGATGCTTGAAAGAGCTGATGAGCATCAGCCTGAAGGTTCTGCATGTGGGAGAAGAGGCAAAGGAAGGAAGATACAAGCACCTACAGGACAAATAAGCCTTTGTCCTATAGTGACTGCTGGGCTGTCAGACTGGCTGTAGCTGGGCATGATGCTAAAATGGGATGTCACACTGTGATCCCCTGAAAACATCAGAAATGCACACTCCAGCACTCCAGAATTAGAACACTGGGGATGGGCCCAGCAGTCTGGGCTTTAAGAAGCTCATCCCGGCACTCTGATGTGAGCTGAAGTCTAGGATCTCTGTGTATCACTGTTTCCCAAGCTAATGAAATGGTAGAAAATCACTCTCTTGACTCTACTTCCCCAAAGATCCCTCTGTGGGGTTCAGGAAAAGGTTCTATAAGAAGAAAGGCAAATAAAATCCTAAACACAGGTGCAATCAATGTTCCTATCTTGACACAGCATACGTGAGCTGGGGTTCTCATTCTTAAGCCCTAAACTTTCTCTTATCATGCTTTCTAGTGTGGAAAGAAGTATTAGAAGTGAGGCCCACCATTAGCTCCAGAGAACCCTCTCCTCTTCAGAAATGGACTATCTCATGGAATTCCTTGTGGTTATACAAGACTGCTTGATAACATTCTGCCTTTAATTTCTATGTCCCACCTCTCCCCTTTCTGGGGGCTCCTAGAGAGCAGGTACTGTTTGTGCTATATTCACTGTGCTCAGGGCCCAGCAAGGTGGCAACCACAGAGTAGATGCTGTGGTAGAGTGACCCTTGAGAAAAGATCTCTTTTGTACTGGGTTTTTAAAGGATAGATATAGGGTTTCCAATCAGGTGTGTGTGTGTGTGTGTGTGTGTGTGTGTGTGTGTGTGTGTGTGTGTGTGAGAGAGAGAGAGAGAGAGAGAGAGAGAGAGAGAGAGAGAGAGAGAGACTGAATAACAAATTAGCTAAGGAAGCCTTGAATTCTCAGACTACTACTAGAAGATTATTGGACATGAGGCTGGGAAACAAGATTAGAGGCTTGATTGCAGCAGGTGTGGAGTGTCAGGCCAAAGTAGTTGGGATTTTTCCATCTAGGCTATGGAGGTTTGAGTCCACTGTAACACAGTAGAATCACCTCAGAAACTTATACCAGGACAAAATGAGTTTGATGCTCTAGGGTGGAACTTGCTATTAGTATTTTTAAAACATTCTTCAAAAGATTTTACTCTGTAGTCATAATTCATAATTCCTCTTCCAAGAAATGGGAAGTTCAGAGGTTATACAAATATAACTAGTGTGTGCTTCAAAAAAGAAAAATCACTTACAGAAAATTGGAGGAAGAGAAGGGTGGATGGATACAATGGACAGATGGTTGGGTAGATGAATGAGTTGGGTAGATATAGAGGTAGGTGGCTGGAGTAGATAGATAGATAGATAGATAGATAGATAGATAGATAGATAGATAGACAGACAGACAGACAGGTGTTAGATGTGTGGGTAGGTAGATGGATAGAAGATACAGATGATGAATGGATAGACTGATGAGCAGGTGGGTAAGTATAGACATAATATGAGGCTAGAGACAGGAGTACCACTCATGAAGGAATCTCAGTTCAGGCAAGGGAGGTAGCACTGGAATTACTGAAGTCTAGACAAATACCTCTCAACAGGGTACATCTCATCTTGAAGAGTTGCTGGAAATAGGAGTGGGAGTAGAAGGGAAGAATGGTGATTCTGAGATTTGGCTTTCAGGCAACTGGGAGGAAGCCAGTCACATAGACTAAGAGGAGAGCTGCAGGGAAAGAAGCAGGTTTGGGCAGAGAATGCATCCCATCCCACTTCCTCCTGCTTCCTGGGTGGTGAAGGGAATCAAAGGATTAAAGGAGAGCTGCCATAATTGAGCTGTTACTGAAATTGCTTCAGGGGCTTAGCTCAATCTGGGATGCAAGAATTGAACAGCATCTGGGGAATTAAATGTGTAAAAATTATGGACATTTCAGAGGAAAGCAAAAAGGCAAGTGATTTTGAAAGGACGGGAAGTGCTAGATTGACTTTAATGATGGCCTTTAATTAGGTTGCCTGGCCAGAGCAAAATGGTAGCAGACAGACAGAAAGGACAGAACCTGTGGGCCAGGAGGTGGCACAGCCCGTGAATGGACTGAGGGAGAGTGTAGGAGGGAGGAGGAGAGAGGGGGGAGGAGCAGGAAGAGAAGGAAAAGGAAGAGGGGCAGGCAGAGGAAAAGGAGAAGGGAGGGAGATACAGCAGCAGCTAACTTGTGTTAAAGCAAGGTCTGGGGTTCCTTCATTGTGTCTCTGTGGGTGCATGCATTCACACATATTCACATGTGGTGGTACATGCATTTGTACGTGTTCACATGCTCTAATTCATCCAGGTGCTGTGTGTGTGAAGCTCAAATTCTCTGATGAGCCTCTGCCTAAGCCTTCTTAAGTAAGAGAGATTCAAGAGAGACAGGAGACGATGCTGTAGCCTGACTAATGCTTCCATAGGAAGGAGGCTGCAAAGCCTTCCCATACCAGACCCAGAAGTAAGGTAGCCAGTGCTGTCTTCTTTCAGAAAGCACTTTCTAGACCGAGTAAGGATGGAGGGCTGGAGTGGACATTCCCAGAGCAGAAGCTTCTAAGTAGAGGACTATTACCAATAGGCCAGCAAGAAGGAGAAACATGCTGGTGTGCTGAAGAGCAGCTTAGAGGCCCCACCTGTAGCTCTGGGGTAAGGCCCAGGGTGACAAATGTGGCTGGGGATGTGGTAGAGATCAAATAGCAAAGGGTCTTTACCATTCAAGAGTTTGCTCTTCATCCTGGGTCATCAGGGAGAAGGATATAGAGCAGTGGTTCTCAACCTTCCTAATGCTGCAACCCTTTAATACAGTTCCTCATGTTGTGGTGACCCCAAACCAACCATAAAATTATTTTCACTGCTACTTCATAACTCTAATTTTGCTACTGTTATGAATCATAGTGTAAATATATGTTTCTTGATGGTCTCAGGTGACCCCTGTGAAAGGGTTGGTCAACTCGTGACCCACTGATCTAGAGTAAAGGAATACAGTGGTCAAAACATCTTTTCTACCTTTCCTGCGGGATCCTAGGAGAACAGGGGTGACATCCAGGGGCCAGGCTGAAGGATCCAGTGCCTGGGTATTGACTGAACTTGGGGGCCAACTGAGAAGGGTAGATGTACCCAGAGAAGTAGAAGTGGCCTTTAGGGAATGAAGCAAAGGCTGGGAGGGAGACAGCCCCTCCCTCTGGGAGGGTGACAAGGCTGCAATCAGAGAGAGGCAACTCTCTTGACTCCCATGACTAGGAACAAGGAAAGGACAGGCAAGGACAGTGAGCCATATCTGCCTCCCAAGCAGCATGCCCACTCTGAAGCTCCACCCAGCATGGGAAACAACTAGCTCTGCCTTCCCATCTCCTCCCTGCCCTGTTTCCACTCATATATGTGGGGCCCAGCTCACACAAAGAAAAAGCAAGGCATGGTGGTTTGATGAAAAATGTCCTCCATTGGCTCCTCTGTCTGAACACCTGGTCCCTGGTTAGGTGTGGTCTAGGCAGGTACAGCCTTGCTGGAGGACGTACATCACTGGGGACAGGTTGTAGGAGTTTATAATCTCACCCCACTTACAGTTCTCACTCTTTGCTTGTGTTTGTGGTTGAAGATGTGATTGTTCAGCTTTCTGCTATGGCTGTCTGCTGCCATGTCTTCTCAGACATTATGGCCTCCCTTTTGGAACCATAGGCCAACAAAGTAAACTTCTCCCATAGGTTGCTTTTGGCCATAATGTTTATCACAGCAACTAACATGCCAGGTGGGCTATCTACAGCCAGGAGCTAGCCCTTCTGTAGAAGGCTGGCATCTGTAACCTCAGCAACAATGGTACCTCACTGGACCATCAATAAAAACCACTAAGGTGCAACAGAAAGACACGTGGACCTGGGGGTGGTACTCTCCTATGTCTACCTTCTAACAATATGACAGCACACAGGTCATCTATGCTTGTGTCCTAGCTATTTAAACCATGCCACTAAACACTAGAAAAGAGCTCCCTGGTCATTGTTCAACAGCGAATCTGTGCAGTGCCTTTATGGTGTGCATTCTGTAGGGTCAGGCCCCAAGATGACCTTGAGCACACGTGTGGCTCCTGCTCTCCTCATAGTAGACAGTGTACTGGGGGAAGACAGAATCGCTGGTGGCATCTCAGATGGGTGTAGAATCAGATTGGCAAAAAGTGCTAGAGTAAAGGGGCATACCATGCCACAAGAGCCCAGAGCAAGGGTCTTGAGGCCTGACTATGAGGTTCACTGGAATATCTATAAGGAAGGAGTAGGTAAGGCAGGATTTCTAAGAAGAATTAGAGGGGGTTAAGGGAAAGTACTAGAAGCATGGCTTCCCTTAGCAACAGGAAATTTGGAGCATGTATTTAAGGGACAAAGTAAAGACCAGCATGGATGAAGCACAGGAATCAAGATGGTTAGGATAAGAATGGTGCATAGTGAGGCTGGAGGCCTGCAGGGCTGCTGGACCCTAGGGTG